CCGGGACCTCGGCGACCGGCGCCTAAGTGTCCTAAGTGTCCACCTGTCCGTGGCATGTTCCTTGACCCTGCTGGATCTTACACATCACTCTTTGAAGTTGTACCTGTGAAAAGAGCGCTTTGCTTGCCCATCGTAATTAAAATCCGAATCATTTTAACCACGTTGATTGGGCGCTTACGATGTGCATATACTATGCTGAGGGCTTCATCCTATTACCTTATAAATAGGAAACCCGAGGCCTAAAGAGCTTGAGTAACTAACTTACTCAAGGCCACATAGCCAATTAAAAGGAAATGGTGTTTTCTCTTTCAAAATGGAGATGAATTTCACGTGGGGGGTTCCTTGTTTTTATTGTAGTTTCTACTTATGTCTGCTTATTATCTTTTGTGTTAATTCCAATTTAGAGTAGATTGAGGAAGAGCCCCTTTCCAAATGTAACTTCTAAGGACTTGGGCAACCGTTGCTAAAAGAGCCTTTTCCGAACACAAAGTTTCGGAGAAGGAAAAAGTGACCCATGGGATCATTGAACAGAAGTAATAATGAGGTGCGCCCTAAGATCCAGAAATCACTTGCTTGGTAATTGAAATACATTTTTATTGTATATGTGTAAAGCACTTGGGAAGCTTTTGATTGTCAGTCGCAGCCACTATAATTCTGAACTGGCAGCATAATTTTTAAAGGCCCTAGCCCGGAACCAGAACCTTACTAATTTCTGTGACCAAGATCTTTTATTTTTTCATCCTATCATTTGTTCTTTTCTGTGAGTGCTCCCTCATATTTCTCTTGGGAATGGCCCTACTTTCAAAATTCAGGGTTAACAGGCTATAAATTACCACCTATTGCTGTCTTTGTCCACTGTTATTCAGCCTCAGAGCCGACAGTTGTGGGCCCCAGGGAGAATAACCCTCTTGTAGCTAGCTAAACATCCAGGCAGAACAAGCAAAGACAACTTTCTTGCATTTTTTTTGTTTTTTTTGTTGTTGTTTTTGTTTTGCAGTTTAAAAATGATTGTAAATTACTCAAATCAGCATATTTTTCTAAACTAGTAAAAGAGGGTGGGCTATAAAGAGAAAGGTCATTTTGAGGACTCTTTTCAACGAAGATATGTTTGTTTAGCCACCTGATATTTCAAAACTGTCAGAAGCCACAGCTGTATACATAGAAGTTAGATCATCAAAGTTGTGGGATTTTTTTTTTTTTATTTTTTAATGTTTTTGGAGCCGCCTACTGGCAGCCAAACCCAACTGAAAAGCACTGTTTTCTGAAGTTTATAGAGCAGGAGTCGAGGCTAGAAGGAACCTGAGAGATCATATTCAGGAAAAAGCAAGGTACTTGGAACAAGTCAGACTTAAGCTGTAATGCCGGCTCCACCCCTGAGCGGCTCTGTCACTTTTGAGCAAGTTTTAAAATTTCTGAGCCTCAGTTTCCTCATTAGTACGGTGGGACAAATAAGTACCTGAAGTCCCCATCCCATACAATAAGTATTCAGTAAATTGTAGCTCTAATATATAAACATTTTGCAGATAAAGACATTCAGACCTAAAGATGCTACATGATTTAGTCAACAACTGGCTTGGAATGAACTGTGGTTAATATTTACTGGGTGCTGATACGTGCCCCGCACTATTCTGTGATATATGCTTAATCCTTAAATGTTGGTACTACCATCCCATTTTAGGGGTGAGAAAACTGAGGCACCAAGAAGTTACTAAATATCCTAAGTTCACACAAGCTGCAAGTAGCAGAGCCAAGATTTTAAGCACAACAAGGTAATGCCAGAGCCAGGCTGCCTCTAGGTTAGTACTGTCTCAAAAATGTGAAGCTAATTTGTATTAACAAGTGCTTCCCGACTAGCAACTCCCTTTGTAAATTCTCAAACTAGAATGCTTTTCCCCATAAATTTTCAACTCATCCACCTTACTCCTTAGCCTTTCTACTCAACTAATTAAATGCAAAACATTGAGGGTAAAATGTTAAATAACAAAGGATACAAAATTTTGCATTCACTAAACTAATGATGAAACTTTATATATAGAAGAAAAAGCTAGAGAAAAATGTACAATATAGTAGCAATGGTTGCAACAAGACATGGACTAATAGCTATTTTTCTTATTTTCTAATCTTTCTATAATGTGGTTTCATTCATTTTATAATGAAAAAGACATTTTTTTAGGGGAGGGGTGGAGGTATTTGGAGCCAGGAGATATGCCATGGAAACTGCCTTTTTGAAATGCTTGGGCTCAGACAGACACTTTGTTGTTTTCCTCCACTGAGACTGCCCAGCTGAGGTGGGTTACCACTGAGAGCTTGCAGGTGCACCAAAATACAGCAGCGCTACCCCACCTACACTTCTTTGCCTCTGCCTCTTTGCTAAATTCCATAGTTGTATTTGTAAATTTGTCCTCTTAGGAATTTTCACTTTAGTTTTATCATTGCCCTAGAGTCAGTGGTGAGGAGCAGTCTTTTCTGCTTTGCCTTTTAGCTCCCCATGGAACCAGCCCCATGGAAAGCCTCCCGTTCCTTGGTTGGAGCTAAGGTCAAGAGTAGCAGTAACTGGGTAGGAACAGTCCCTGGGTCATTGGCAGAATGACTCATTTTGCATCTTTCCCATGGCGCTTCAACAGATGTGTCATGTAAATACCACCAGTGACTCAGGAAAGATGAGGATGTGGTCCTCTCTTGCCTAGCTGGGTTCCTGAACACTGTGCACCCAAGGTTGGTTGTCTTTGTAGGAGACATGGGACATCTGGAAACAGCTTCTGACTGCAGAAAACCAAAAGAAGATTGACTTGTGCTGCCCCATGGAAAGCTCCTCTGGAGACACCTTTCCTGTGACAGAGTTGTGTATGTTCCAGGATAAGCTGGCTTTCATTGTGTGGGTTTGGAGCTGTAGCTAGAGGGGGCAGTGGCCCCAACCTCAGTGGCCCCAGCAATGTTTTCTGCCTTGTAGCTTCCACTTACCTGGACTGGGCCCCAGTGACTTAACCTCATGTGGCAATACAGTTGGGGGAACAAGGTGTTCATTCAAGACAAACAAGGGTTCCCCTGAAGGGTGGCCCCCTACCATTCTGAGCTCCATCTCTAGCTGGTGCAGGGTCTGCATCCAGCTCTGTGCTCTGGACAACTGGGATTAATCTCAGCTGATTCAGAAGACAGAAATGTATTTGAGACCTATATCTGCCTCCATAATTTAAGGGAAATGGAGAAAAGATTTTGAAAATAACTTCTTTTTTCTCTTCTAGCTTATATGTTCAAAACATTTATTGAATCAGACCTTATGATAGTTCATCTTTTGGGATATAACTGTCACACCACAGCAGGTCAAGCAAACTATACAGCCCACTTTTCTAATTTCTCTTACATGCAACATAAAAGCTAAATTTGAATTCTCATGCTAGAGCTCCAGCCTTCATGATTTGGCCATGGTGCTTCCCAGAGGGTTTCAGGAATACTGGTTATAAAAGAGATACTTCCTGTTTACCCATTTTTAATATTTAATGGCTGAGGATGACAGATTGCAACCACAAAAGTGTTCAGATATCATTGATTGGAACCCACATTTGTGGTACTACACAGTCATAGTATCATGTCACACAACTGTAGCAGTCCAATTTGCACATAAAGAATTAAACCAAGAGTCACATCAGCTACAAATTCTACCTACATTAATAGCTAAAGATGATCATTTTGAAAGTGAAATGTCAGAGTCTGAAGTTATAGTTTCAAGGCTGATGCTCATGAGAAAAAGAAGTGTCTTTAGCAAGGTACTTTTCATCATCCCTGGATGGTCACATCTATTCTTATGGTTTACGTCATCCCCTTTATGTTGACAGCTCCCAAATCTGTCCCCAGCGGAGACCATGCCCTTGAACTCCAAAGCCCTGTTTTCAGCCACCTATTAATATACAACTTGCAGACTTCCCAAATTCGGCCTGTCCAAAATGCCCAACCTGTACTTTCTTCAGTAATCCTTTTCCACTAAGTGGTCTCACCATCCTCCCAGTTTGCCAGGCCATGAACCTGGGCCATCCTTAACTTTTCTCTCCCCTTAACTTCTGGCTTCCTGCTTCGTGTCCCAGCCTGTTCTCACGGCTGTCCATCTCATCTTGAGCCGTAGTGAAAGTGCCACATTCTCACTCAACTGCAAGTTTCCAGTGCTCCTCCCCCTTCTTCCAGTCTTGGTCTTCTATCCACTCAAGATTAAAGTCACTTATTGCAGGAGTCCTTCCCTGACTTCTACCTGTGTAGATCTGGGGAATACCCAGTACTTCTCCTTCCATGACATATATCACACTGGGTTGTTCCACTTGCCCTGGGAGGGTCTTATTCACTGCTGTCTCCCCTGAGCTTAGCACTACACCTGATGCAATAGTTGACATCGACTGAGAACTTTGTGCCAAGTGCCTTGCCAAGTAGGTTGCCTGCATTATCTCAAGAACAGAATCAGGGAGACTTCTAGGAAGTGATCAGCAGGGTCTGGAGAAACACCAGGTTACCTTCAACTAGGAAGGTAGTGCTGGAGAGAAGTAAGTGGATTTGACCCACATGTTCAGCTAGAGTTAACAGGACTTGCTAATAGTTTGGATGAGGGGTTGAGTGAGGAGCAACAGGAGGTGGTATTGCTCAAAAGAAGTCAAGAGTAACTGCTAAGTTTAGGGCTTGAATAACTACTGGATGCTGCTACTTCTCACTGCAGGGGGATGAAGGACACTGTGTATGAGTGTTTGGGAAAAAATTAAAAGTTCTCTTTGATATGTGTTAGGTTTGATATGCCCATCGGTAATCAGGGTGACATGGATATATAAATCTGGAACTCTGGAATAAGATCAGACAAGACTGGAGTTTCTTATATAGAACTAACCAGAACTCCATGAGGTGGAACTACTATCAGCTAAAGTGGTTTAACTTTCTAATTCATAGAGGGCATAAGCAGCAGAGCCAGCATTGAACCCAGACACAATGACTGTAGCACCAACTGCTGGCCACTACACAGTAAATGATTATTTCCAGTTCTAGCCACTGTCCACCTTAGTTTTCTGCAGTGTAAATTACTCCATGCCAGCTGTAGGAGTTGTTTTGAAGGTCAGAGTATGCTGTACTTAAAAATTTTAAATGCAATTAGGTATGCTTTTAGTCATATACAAGAAACACAGAGCACAAGAGAATATGAGCCAGGGAAAGATGATGGCCTAACATAATGGTGGTCACTGGGCACTATTGCCGGGTTCATTTGGCAGCTTCTGGGCAGTTGAATATCATATAGTAAGTCTTTTAATATCTAGTTTTTGCTCCTCTACTTACAGAAAAGCAGTATTTCAGTTCGAAATATTCAAATTTATCACTTATTATAAAAGCACG